AAAAAAAAAAAAAAAAAAAGGTACCGCCTCACCTCTCTTAGAATAGCTGTTATAAAAAAGACAAAAATAAGTAAATAAAAGAAACGATGGTGAGGAAGCAGGGGAACTCTCATGTACCATTGTTGGGAATGTAAATCAACACGACCTTCACAGAGCACAGAAGCAGAAACTGGGGTGGCCCAGCAATCCCACTGCAGCAGGGAGAGCCAACAGAAAGGCAACCGGTATGCACTTACATCTGTACTTACACATATTTTTAAATATTTTTTTAGTTATAGATGATCATAATATCTTTATTTTGCTTATTTATTTTTATGTGGTGCTGAGGATGGAACCCAGTGCCTCTCGTGTGTGGGGCAAGCGCTCTGCCACTGATCCCCAGCCTCAGCCCCTGCAGGACCATCCACAATAGCCAAGGTGTGGGACCAACCGAGGTGTCCACAGACAGATGAATGGATAAAGAAAATATTGGATACATACACAACAGACTACTACTCAGCCATAAAAATGAACAAAATCCTGTAATCTGTGGCACCATGGGTGGAGCTGGAGGACATTATGTTAAGTGAAATAAGAAATACAATCTGTTCTCACTTACATGCAGTAGCTAAAAAAGCCGATCTCAGAGAGGTAGAGAGTAAAGTAGTGGTTACCAGAAGCTGGGGAGGCAAGAGGGGGTGGCGAGAGGGTGGTTAATGGGTGCAGGTGAGCAATTGCAAAGAAAAAATAACTTCTAATGTTCTAGAGCCCAGTGAGGGAACAATGATTGGCAGCGGTTAATTGCAGATTTCAAAATAGCTAGTGGAGAGGGTTTTGAATGCTCCCAACTCACAGTGATCCTAAGTGTTTGAGGTGTTGATGGATAGGCCTATTACCCTGGCCCGATCACTACACATGGTGTACGTGTGTTGAAATGCCACTCTGTACCCCATAAATATGCATAATTTTTAGGTGTCAATTTTGCTGAGAGCCATTGCCAAGTAGGAATGATGCATGGCAATTTCTTTGTCAGCCTACCCAATGTTGCTTAGAGGAAAGACTCTCCATTGTGGACCCAGGTCATTTGCAGTGACATTGCATGTAAGGTGTCCTTGCTCAAGGACCAGGGCGGATCCAGGTTTAAGGTGTACCCTGCTGGGAATAGGGCTGCCTCAGGGGCACCCACTCCTTGAGTTCCCGTTGAGTTCTCGCGGGATTCAGAGAGTATTTGGGATTCAGAGCCGGGTGGAGAACGTAAATTTCCCCACAATATACGTGTGTGTGTGTGTGTGTGTGTGTGTGTGTGTGTAGAGGGCCGGTGTGAGTTCAGGAATAAAGAGTTGCTGTTTGAATCTACAAGGTGTGTGGTGGCTCGTGATTTTGTGCCCAGCCAGACTGCGGCATCAATTAAATACACACACACACACACACACACACACAAACATATATACACAAAGTTAGGGTTTTTGTGTTTTGGTTCAAGCATGCCCCCTCTCGGAGCCCCCAGAGGTGGGTGATCTCAAGCATGAGTCCAGTGCTCAGTGGCAGATGGGGACGGAAGGCCACTGGTATGGATTTGTGGTCATGTGGCTTTTTGTCTTTTAGGCCTCAGTTCTTCACCTGGAAGAAATCAATATATAGGCCCCGCCCCCAGGAGGCTAAACACTGAGGAAAAGCCAGGTGCTGGATGGGAGAGGGCCAGGACCAGAAAGGGAAAGGGGACTGACTGAGGACAGAGCCATGTCCAGGCAGGAGAGGTGGACAGTGGATGCTCTGGGCAGCTGGGTTGCAGCCCATGGCTTCCTGAATGGCCGCAGCCCTGCCCTTGCTCTCAGTCAGCCCTGAGTCTGTCCCCAGCGACATTCTGTATGCTGAGGGCCCAAGGGACCCTGGCAAACCAAGTTGCTGGGATAGAGTAACAATGTATCGTTTCAAAGCCAGGACCCTGCCTGGCTCCTAGCTCCCCATCACCCAGACAAATGTTGATCCACCAAGTGCAAAAGCCAAACTTCCCCTGAAGTTTGGGACAGACATTCAGAGAGGGCTCCCACAGAGTGGACCAGGGCACCCTCAGCAGGCTGCAGTCTCCTTGAAGCTGCTCAGGAAACCTCTGTGCAATGACCCACACCAGGGCCAGGGTGTCCATTGGCCCTCCTATCAGGGAACTGCTGGAGCTCTCCTGCCCTTGAACTGGCCTCGCATCACAGCGCCCCCTGGTGGTGAGGGCCAGTCCCCCTCCTCCCAGGCTCATTCCTGCCCTGGCCTGGGGCACTTCCGGTCCTCTCCTGAACCGTGGAAGCTTCCCCGCTTCTGTTGGCCTTACGTGGATCGTGGATCGCAGGTACCCCGCTGCACTTTAGCTTCACTTGGGATCTTTTAAAACAAGCAGATGCCCGCCCCCCAGCCTGGACCAATGAAATCAGGATCTCTGGGGGTGTGGCCCAAACACTTCTAGGGTTGAGCCACTAAGTGATTCCTTCCCAGCCCTAGGAGCTGGCTTGAGTCCCACTCCAGCAGGAAGCCTTACCTGGGTGACTGAGCCTCTCCTCTGAGGGCATGTGTCCCACAGGACGGGTCCGGTCACTAGGCGCCAAAAATTGTAGCCTGCTA